CCAGATCATGCGGTCAAACCGAGTGCGTAGTGAGACAAATAACGTCTGTTTAATAGTTCAGATTACTTTTCTCATCTCATTCACACAAACTTTGATCCGAATTCCTCGGAATCTGTGAAAAAAATTGCAACGAATTATTGCGTGTATTTGTGATGAGCTTCGTTCAACAGACCAGTCAAATAGAATTTGAAAAAATTTCCCCCTCTCCTGATTTTTCCCTTCAATCCTGCAATGGTAATGAGAATTTCAGAATCAGTGAGTAATTTATTTCCAATCATTCCCTCAATAGTCTTCTCTGAAGTCCCTTTGATTTGAGAATTTTTGCGGAGAAACCAATATTCATGGATTATTCCCATAGTGATATTAGGAAGACACTATAAAGAACGAAGTTATGTAAACCAAAAAACGATATCATTTTATTTAGTTGAAAAGTTCAAGCTAAATGTAAATGCTGGTTACAAACATACAAACAGTCATGGCGCGGAACGTGTGCAGTGATGTATAAATGTGCTCATATTCGGTTCAAACCAATAGATGAGCAAATTTATTAAATTTATCTGCTTCTATGTCACCACGGAAAAGGTCAGGCAGATAGCGTGTTTCATCCAAGTGATAAGTTTCATTCCGAACTATTCGGTTCACACGCATAGGACAGACACACAACATGGGATGATTTAATTATAGCGTTTTCGACACAACTCCCACGAGGTAGGCGAGACTCCGGTTTATTTTGCTTTTGTATCCTCAGTGTCGCTCCTACGGTGTAAGGAATGAGCGCAAACAGGAGTCTTGTGTACCTGTGTGTGTGTGTGTGTGTGTGTGTGTGTGTGAGCTTGGTGTGGACACGAGTGTCTCCTTCGAACGGTCTACGACAAGAAAAAATACCGAATAAAATGATAGTGTCACATGAGTTTACCGCTGAGGTTTTATTCCAATCCCACATCTCCGCCTTGTCCATCACCATTCAATTCATGGCCTACGCTGTTTCTGGGACCGAGTGCAACCCGACTTGTCGATTGTCCTGAAACTATGCACTATCGATATGTTGATTTTCGAGGCCGTTTATTTGCCCAAAGTTGATTGATTCGAATATGAGGATATCAACATTGAACTAAAATTGGACCAATGTAGGCATTCTTTTGGTATCATTGGAAGAGAGTATTCGAAACCAGACCTACAGCAATTCAGTGGTACCAGAAATTTCAAAATTTACTCTTCTGGTCGGATGCCAAGTATATTAGTCGCAGTTTGTAGCATCTAACCCCCCAAAAACATTGTTTGGAATAATTATTTTGAGTCACCGACAGGCTGTTTTGATCAGCATGTCCGTGTAGCTGATTAGAGACCTGTGACGAAATATATATATATAAATATATCCTTCAGTAGCATAAACTATGCATAACAACGCATTTTTATTCCAAAAAACCTAACAGTATAGTTATTACCGATCAACTAGCAATGCTTTGTAAAGCATCCACATCACAAGCTAGTTCACTTATCTTACGTTACATCAGAACAAAAAAACTGCATTGGGGATATCATGCAAGTTTTCGACAAATCGTTGATAATCTAAATTCCTGGCTCGTGGGGTAACCGAACTCCAAACATTGTGATGACGCTGCTGGTTTACTGAATGGGGGGGGGGTCTTCTTGAATTAACCGATTTAATTTTTGGACTCCTTTAGGAGAGATGGGAGGATCCTTGCGCACGATCAAAATAAGTGATTTCTTTGAAAAATGTGTCAGAAATGATATTGAAAACATTTTATACAGTGAATGTTTGGATTGGCCCATTTGGTTTTTCACAGGCACCATGCACTGTTGATGATCTTGGATGAGTTTCACGCTCCCGTTATTCCGTCGGTCATCACAAAGATTTTCACCCCAGTTAAATGCATTAACCTGATGGGGAATTAACGAATTCACAAGTCGTGAAANTCATCAACAGTGCCTGGTGCCTGTGAAAAAACGAATGAGCTAATCCAAGCACTCACCGTGTAAATTGGTTGAGCCATTTGCACACGGTGATGACCGTCGATCGTGTAGCTTCAGGGTAGGGGGCTTGAAGTCCCTACCCGAAAGTTTGCAGTTCGACACCTGATAGGGACACAAAAAGTACGCACTGCTGACGAGCCCCAAATAGGAAGAAACAACTGTCCAGTGCCCTTTGTCGGTCATCACAAAAGTTTCCATGACATTGTAAACAGTTTGTTTTATTTAAAAGCATGCAGTGCAACATAAATCCATGCTTATCGGCCATTTTAGGAGCAATTTTGACAGGGATTTTTCAGTTCAGTACTGTTTTGAGTGCTGTGTTTCCTACATGTTCAACTATGGCTTGTATATGTGACTATGTAATAATGGTCCTGTTTTTGCCCGACGTGCAGTGTGTATAAAAATGTGGGCTCATGGGAGTTTCGGGGGACATAAATAGTCCACACGACTGATTAATCCCGTACCACATTTAAACTGCTGATCTTTTTCATAAAGTTGCATTCATTTACAAAAGCACAGTGCAGGTTGCCATTAGAGAGTGACAGATTGATGGATGTGAATGAAAATCTCTAGGAAAGCGCGCAAAAATCGTCGGTGTAATTTCTCCCGTAGAAGGAGGAGTACTCAGGCTACCTGACCAAGAGGGAAATGCTTACCAAAAGGCGTTTGTAGCGAGAATCAAGTGCCAGGGTGGCGAATTTAAAATATTATGCGACGGAATCAGTGTTTTCTATCTGATGAATCATTCGATTCATCGGCCGAACTTTATTCTGTAAATAAGACTTTTTTATGTGGGCATTGTGACAAGTACAGTGGTCTCGGGGGGATTTGAACCCAAGCACGGACGCCGCTTACGCATTTTTGTATATCGCACGCTCTGCCAGCTGAACCACAGGGGTACATCATTAACACTGATCTTTTCACATCGGGATTAGCCACCCAAATTACAGAAGCATATGGAATCCAACAGGTGGGATGTAGGCTGACTGCAAAGACAGGTTTTCCCCAGAATCCACCGCAATCTTTCGAATGAATTTCGAGGGCTTGGTTGTAAAGGCGTAGGTGGCATCCACGAGTGGCTTCGAATCTCACCGAGTCCACTGAACTTTTCTCAATTCATACTTAAGACTTTAATCTACCAAACAACTAAATTGGAAAAATACTTTTTTAGAGAATCACAAAAGCCTACAAGAGCATCGCTCTCCACTGATAATTCCGATATCATATGCTTATTGTGGATTAAAATACAAACCCTTCATTCAGGTTAAGTAATACATCTTTCAAGACACTTGATTCTCAGCGGAGTTGCCTCATTAGTATCTATTCTTGTTTTACCATCCATCCTCCAAATTTCGGTTGGCACTAAAATATTTTANAGCATGTCAATCAACTTTTTAAAATGCTACCAGCTAATTCCCAAGAGATTTTGCACTCAATCTGAACTCTAATAAGTTTTCAATAGGCCGTTGTGCACACACACACGCACGCACTAACACTACTGTTTACCAAACAGTTTGCACTGAATCTTACATTTTGACACAAGATACGATATCGTGCTACGGAATAAAACAGTTAAAAGCTGTTTGTATTAAATAAACAAATTACATGTATTAGTAATAGGGAGGACAAAGTTATTTCTTTGTCCGTGGCTGGGGGTCTCCCTTAATTGGGAACTAAAGCAGACCCCTACAGAAACTGGTCCCCTTAGGCCTGTGATAAACAGAAGACCGGGTAAACCGCCACAGTCACGAGAATCTGCAATTCGGTCATGGAAACCCGCAACCTAAGCCCATTTAATTTAAATGGATAACCGCATTAGGCTCTAATAGGTTAGACAGTGTATTAATCCGAACGACATTGGAGCTGCCCACCACCAAATTTGAGTGACGGTGACGGACTTGAACCTCGGGCTCTAGTGACCCAAAGCAAGCCGGTGAAAAGCGGTAGTTCCAGCAAGTCACGTGTCATCAGGCTGTGGGAGTCGAATTTGTGCGCATGCGAATAGGATCGCTAACGGTCGATCGCCTTGCACCTAATTGAGGACTTTGCTTTACATCGGATGGAAGGTTCTCGGTTCAACAGAAATGTGTGTGGCTAGCCAACTCCATTGAGAATTAATCGGATCTTGGTCAGTATAATACTACTTCTGGAGGTAGCCAAGAGACGAATCAAGTTTCAATGACTGAGATCATTCGCAGTATCCAGGTTTTATACATTCGAATGCCATGCTCCGAAAACAACACATAGAAATCACGCGCGTCACGTTTCAATGGGGATCTATCAAAAGTATGCCAAAAGATCTTCCACAAAATGTGCAATTCCTTTATCACAAATAAATATTCATCGGATTGTTCGGTGTCATCAACTAATTTTAGCGCTAAACGGGATGCGCCCCAATCAAAACGTTTAAAGTTCCTCCATACACAAGGAAACGAATTCACTTTTTTCATCATTCAAGACCATACCACTGTTACGAGATAGGTCCAACCTCCGGGGAAAAATAGAATACATTAGCGTCCATATGTGATATTCATGTGGATAGCCAGATTGACCATATTGTTCGACAATATGATTGTGCTTATTATTATTATGCTCATCATTTTTATAAGCTGAGCCTTTTTGTGTATCGACCAATGAACGTAAATGAGATGCATGTATCTGAGACTCTTTGTTTTCCTGTCGTCCTGAGGATTTTGGATGAAGGGAACAAACTGTTCCACTACGTTAAAAAATCTAAAAGAAAAAAATTTTAGATTGATAATCTCAGGTTAGTGGTTGTCTGATCCAAATACAGTCACCCAACAACACCAGTGATTGATTGGTTGATTCCACTTAGATTTTAACCAAAAAATGCTAAAATAATAGATATGATATTGAGAAATGATTGTGATAATACGTGTCAGCTAAAAGATCCGACGCGCGTGTAAAAAAGAAACTTATGCAAGCAAACGGGTTAACAGCCACCGGGGCATGTCTACGTTTTAGATTTGACAGAATCGGACTACTCACCCATATGCATCACCCGTTCGAACAAATCCCAAATCGTCGGTATAGTGCACAAAATTCCCGTGAGATTCTTCACACAGTTCAGCCTTATCCGATGAAAGCTGTTCCGCGAACGAGGTGGCCTCAACCAGTGGTGAGGATCCAGATGAGAAATTCGTGGACTGTGTGGATTGACCTGGGGAAGCGGAAAACACCGAGGAGGATGACTGTTCTTGAACCCATTGGGTCAATGACGGGTTTGTGCAATTTACGAGTGTTACAAATGGTTGGGAATCGGTGAATTCGAGATATGCGCCGTCAGAATCGGTCAACGAGAACAATTCAGTCTCCGGAAGCATGATTGTAAACGTGGTACACAGTCGCAAGAAATACACAACAGGTTTACCAATTACTATTATAGCTGACTGAGTTGTGATTCAAATCACATGCGTTCGGAATAATTAGGCATTGGTTCGTGTGTGTGTGTGTGTGTGTGTGTGTGTGTGTGTGTGTGT